ATGAGTATATGAATACCTTTTTTCTTTGGGTAACAAACTCTTTGGCTGCAACTATAGGTGGCAAATAAACTTATTTAGTGAAATTTATTCATACTCGCTCATGATAGATGAATGTAGGTATCTTAAATTTTTATATATGGGAATAAATGGATTACCCATTAATACTCATTTAATTAGATGTTGGGCCACTTATACTATGACCTAACAGATTCCTAATTTCTTGATCAGATGGTCCAATCAAATGGTAACTAGATCTCACACCAGGTCCAATCCATCCACAACAAAAATGTTCTCAATTTCTTGACCCACTGGACCAATTAAAATGTGTCTAGGTCTCGCACCAGGCCCAATGCATTCTTAGTGAAAATGTTATCAATTTCTTGATCTACTGGGCCAATTAAAATGTGTCTAGATCTCGCACTAGATCCAGTCCATTATTATTGAAAACGTTCTCAACTTCTTGATCCATTGGACCAATTCAAATGTATATAGGCCTCACATCAGGCCTATTATCATAATAATAGAAGGTCCAATCATATTGGTTCTCAATTCTAAATGTCCATAATTCACACAATCGTGCTTTGTAATTCTGGTCCCAATTCCTCCAATCATGACTACTTAAACGCATCAGATCGCAATGATCTCCTCACCTAGACCAAGTAGAATGTCACATTCTAATTCCTTGAAGAGCCCTTGTTCGTCCCGGAAAATCAAAATCAGACACCACCTGTCTAAGAAGAAGACACGAACTAAGAGAATTAGATTCGCGTGTGGCTGCTGCCGACTGCACTGCAATAGATGCAATAAGGAACACCACATTCTCAATATTGATGCAACAAAGAAGTTATTCCTGGGAGTTCTAGAACGATCCCCTCAATTTCACCACATTCCAGGCCACTTAGGCCACTTGATCGGTGTCAATTCAAGCAAATTACAACCTTCGCAGGAGACTTCGCCTCAACAAAATGTGGGCACAACTCATGATTAGGACTCCCTAGTCATTGAAAGACGCGGATCCCAGTAAGATCAATAATAAGGTCAGGGTTCTTGTCATGAGCCAACTATATAATTGCAGTGTCATAAGTCCAATTAATCTAGAATTAGTGTGTAATTTCTTGCCAAGTGTCTGGATTAATTGTAAGGAAGTAGATTCCGAATTTGTACGCATTCTATTTCAAGATGAAATCGATTGATGTATTTTTATTTCGATATTGCGTATTGATTACACGTGGTACTGCTGGATTAAATCCCTACCTATGTACAAATACGTAGCTACTATGCCGCATCCAGCCATGTCCCTCATGTTTGTCATTTCTTCTGATGCCACACTCGCACTCCTACACAAAGCCACTTATATCGTTTAAAACGCAGCGTATCGACCAATCTTTTAGAAAACATGCGTGTTGCACAAGAAAGGCTGAAAGTCTCCGATTTCAATTGCATTTATAATATTACAAAGACTACTATTTAAGAAATTAGGAATATGTTGGGGTCATTTTTTCCCTCCTCAAATTCAAAATTATTCCGCCTTCGTAGCAATTACTGTCACGTGTTCTTGGTTTGATTGGTGAGAATCTGAATGCCTGTAATGAGAAGAATTGGATACATTGCAAAAGGGTACGACACTCGCCAATAATATTATAAGACGCTCAGGGGCGGACACATAGATGGTGGATAGGGGAGCCACATCATCATTCATTCAAAGAATAGACGGTAGATATTTGCTTTACCTAATACAATGAACGGCTATGATTTAAGGTGCATCAATCATTGATCCACTAGTAGCACCTAATTACAAACAGTATGCATGTGGGAGCCACTTTTACAAAAGCGGTCCATGGCCAATTTCTTGATTAGATGAGAAAATGGGGCCTTAAAGGAGTCCATTGTACCACAATTGTCACGTAGGATAAAATAATAATATAAAAGTTTACCCAATCTACCCAATACAACAGATATTTTGCAGTAGGTAGAGTGACATCATAAAGTTGGATTAGGTGACATCATCTAGGTAGAACTCTACACCGTGTCTTATCGACATCGTTTCATAGAATTCCCAAGATTTCACCAAAAAATACAAAACACTTCCTTTCCGGTCATCTCATTTTCATCAAGTGCAGGGACACTGGAGTACTTCAATGAAAATACCAATTCTCTCTATTTCATGCTTCAATTTGTAGGTAAGTTAGGGGCATTATGTTCCGATGGTTTTTGACTCCATTCATACTCTCTATAATGGAGTTTCAATCACAATGTCCAAGTGTGAAGTAAACCATCCATCGTAATAGATTATAACTCACGACAGGACAATTATCTGATGTATGGATGCCTCCGACAATTCGATTGGAGCAGATTCTCATCTAACAAATCAGAAGAGCTGTGTGCTGCTGTGCTTGTCGAGGAAGGTAAGTGAATCAAAGTGCTTGCGATGAATTAGGGTTATTGTAAGTGGCCCAACATATTCCTAATTTCTTGATCAGATGGTCCAATCAAATGGTAACTGGGTCTCACACCAGGTTCAATCCATCCACGATGAAAATGTTCTTAACTTCTTGAACAATTGGGCCAATTAAAATGTGTCTGGACCTCGCACCAGGCCCAATACATTCTTGGTGAAAATATTATCAATTTCTTAATCCACTGGGCCAATTAAAATGTATTTGGGTCTTGCATCAGACCCAATCCATTATTGTCAAAAACATTTTCAACTTTTTGATCCATTGGACCAATTCAAATATACATGGGCCTCACACCAAGCCCATTATCATAATAAAAGAAGGTCCACCTATATTGGTTCTCAATTCTAAATATCCATAATTCACACAATGATGCTCTGCAATTCTGGTCCCAATTCTTCCAACCACGACTACTTAAGCTCACTGGATCGCAATGATATCCTCACCTGAACCAAGAAGAATGCCACATTCTACCTCCTCAAAGAGTCCTTGTTTGCCTTCCGAAATCAAGATCAGGCACTACTTGTCCAAGAGGAAGATGTGAATCAGGAGAATTAGATTCATATGTGGCTGCTACCTGCTGCACCGTAATGGATGCAATAAGGGATACCACGATTTTAGCCTAGATGTAACAAGAAGGTCATTCTTGAGAGTTCCAAAATGATCCTCTCAATTTCACCACTTTTCAAGCCACTTCCACCACTTGATCAGTGTCAATTCGGACAAATTACAACCTCCGCAGAAGATTCTACCTCAACAAAATGTGGACATGGCTTCTAATCAGGACTCCCTAGTCGTTGAAGAACGTGAATCTCAGTATGATCAATAATAGGGTCAGGGCTCTTGTCAGAACCAACTATGTAATTACGATGTCATAAATCCAATTAATCTAGAATTAGCATGTAATTCCTTGCCACGTGTCTAGATTAATTGCAAGGAAGCGGATTTCGAATTTATACGCATCCTATTCCAAGTTGAAATCGATTAATGTATTTTTATTTCGATATTGTGTATTGATTACACGTGGCACTGTTGCATTAAATCCCTACCTACATGCAAATACGTAACTACTACACCGCAACCTATATTTCACACCTACGTATTTCATACGTGTGTGGGGTCCACTTCTTCCACCGAAGCATGTCCACGTGTTAGCACCGAGTTCAACTGCTCCCAGAAAAGCACGAATGCTCCACATCATCCCCGATCCAGCCGAGTCCCCTTCATTTCCTCAACTGCCCTGAACAGTTGGTCCAATTCTGCGATGAATCGAACACTTTCCATGCGAAGAACAAAGTACATCCCTAAGCACACGACATGCTCCATGATGCAATCCCTCACGACCTTGAAGAATCCTGTCATGTCCCTCATATTTGCCATTTCTTTTGATGCCACACTCACACTCCTGCACGAAGCCACTTATACCGTTCAAAACGCAGTGTATCGACCAATCTTCTAGAAAACGGTCGTGTTGCGCAAGGAAGGCTGAAAGTTTAGATGTAATAATTTGATGCATATGATCTCAAATTTGGTCACAAGTATTGGATGTAATATTGATAACTGGAACGTTAGTTTATGATTGCTGACAACATAGTGATATTTTATTACAACTTCTGTAACAAAATTAATCTAAAAGACTAAAATAAACTGCACTAAGAAATTTAAACAGCCCCTAATGGAAATGATGTTGAATATACAGAAAAAAAAGGTATTTTTTATGATCAAAGAACAATTTCTTGATCATGATATAAGAATAAAAACCATGAAGATTGCTCATAAATTTAGAAAATTCAAGATGCATATTTATAAACTTCATGAACCATTTTGATCTGGGCTTAAATTTTTAACATTAGGATGGTATTAGCCCTTAAAAATAAGAACATTATATTTTGGTGAATCTAAATAAACATGTTCACCTATTCTTATTCCTTACATTCTTTTTATTGTTTTACATTATTAAATCATTTTTGTAGAATTTTCATTACTGGGAAACAAAGAAGAGAGTCTGGAAGTCCCTGTTGATCCTATATTAAATTCTTTTTCACCTATGGCCATCTTTTTCTTCCTTTCTAGGCTTATCAAATCTGGACCGAAGAGTGATTCAAAAAACCTTCCAATTCACTATTCAATCAGTTCGACTTCGATTCAAAGGTTTAATAATTTTTTATTCATTTTAGTATTAAGAATTTTGAATAAAACTAAAATATTTATTTTAAAAAATAAATACTTAATAAAAATCGGTTGAACCTTCCGATTTTTATCAGTTCAACCGATTCTTGACCAGTTTTGATTGGTTCAATTAATTCTTTGATTTTTTAATTGATCTAGACCGGAACATAGCCGATTTGTGATTCAACAGGTTGAACCGACTGGTCCGATTCGGCTTTCAAAACATTGCTTATATTGGTTTCATGTTGATAGCTTTCAAATTAAGTCTAAATTTATCCCGAATGAAATCTAAACCTTTCTTTCAACAAATATTTTAGTTTTTTTTTTTAAATAAAAGGTGTTACTTATAATTCCTCTTCCACCCGACAAATATTTTAGTCATACGTTTACATCTGGCCTTCTTCTTTTGGGAGATTTCTGAAATTATCCCTAAAAGATTCTTCCAAAATGAACATGGTAAAGTTTGTCTTCCAAAATGTCCTATACGCATGTTTAATTTCCCAACCAGTCCACTCTCCTCCGTCAAGTCTTCTTTAAAGAAAATGGCATTCTTTTTCTTTCCATTGAATGATTTCTCACTGAAGATATAAACAAGGGAAGCAGATAAAATTTCAGTACAAGCACAAATGGCGCATTCCGATGGATTGACTCTTGAATCAATCAGAAACAGTTTGATTAGGCAAGAAGATACAATCATTTTCAGCCTGATTGAGAGAGCAAAATATCCCATTATTCCTCAGTTATATGATAGCAGATGCTCCGTTCTTCCTGGGATCTCTGGATCCTTGCTTGAGAACATCGTTCGAGAAACAGAAGCCATCCAGGCAAAGGTTAAAAATAATCTTTTTTTGGGCTTTTTCTTTTTTTTTCATTTTTTTTTTTTGGGTAAAGATTTGATTTTTTTGAATGCTACACCAACCATGGAAGTAATTTACTGCAAACCCTTTTCGATTCTTGAATGAAATTTGGATTTTTGTTGTTGGGTGATTGGTGTTAATGATCTTGATAAAGATACGTCAGAGAAATATTCTTTACTTGTTAAAATAATTAGGTAATTGATAGAAACTATTTGGAATTGTATTTGCAGAAAAGGAATGCTCAATCTAAAAAATTCAAACTACATTTTTGTAATATTTTATTTTTGTGTGGTCCTAAGTTTGAGTTTGGAAACAGATCCTGTTATCTTACAATGGTATCTCACCTACCTTATTGTTGTTGACTTGAACTTGAATTGGAAGTGTGTTTTCAAGGATTTATTGTTTTGAACTCTATTAAGAATTTTATTATTATTATTATCATTAAGTTTCTGTCTATTTCCTGATGAATCTCTTTCAGAAGGGATGATGTTTCCTTGCTGAGAAACTCTTGGGCATGATCTGTGGCAAAGAATCAGTCACCTTTGCTTAAGCCTTAGGCTGCTGAATTATCCTAGTTTTCTTGCATTTGTTACAAGAACTGATCAATAACTGATTATAAATGCATACAAATAACTGAATGTTGATCCATAAGTTGACAACGTTTCAAAGCGAATCACTTGTATCCTGCCAGCATTGCAAACTAGCTTTAGAACTGATGAATTACTGAATCTCAATGCTCAACCTGGCTGAATCAGCAATTCGAACTTTTGGAAAGCATGTTTCATAGAAGAGTGTTGGTTTTCTCTGCAGCTCGAAGGAAATATATTTCTTTTATCTTGTCTTGCCAACTTCTTTTGGAATTCCCATTTGGTTCCTAAACGAAATTAAGTTTGAGACAGAATCGTTGGTGAATGATGAATAAATTATCTGCTAAAAAGTTTCTTGCATATGGACTTAGAGAAGTTAAATCTGATTTTTGCTCATGGCATGCCTACAGTTTTCCTCTCATAATTTTGCAGTATGGTAGATATCAATTCCCAGAAGAACATGCTTTCTTCCCGGATAACTTACCAGACTCTTTGGTTCCACCCAACAGCCATCCACAGGTAAATTTGGATATGAAATACTGGCTATTAATATATAAGCATCTCAAATAACTAGATTTCAAAGCTTCCGTTTGCCCATGCCAATTCAAATTGCAGGTTTTACATCCTGCAGCAGCTTCTATTAACATAAATAAGACGATATGGGATATGTATATCAACAAATTGCTTCCACTTATTGCATCTAAGGGAGATTATGAAAACCATACATGTGTTGCAGCCTCTGATCTTGAGTGTTTGCAGGTAAATCTGGATGTCTGTTATCCCTACATAGCATACAGAAGCAGTGTTTGAGAATCATAAATGCTGGAATTAGCTTCTGTAAAGGGTGAAAAATGATTTTTAACCATGTTTTTGTTAAATTGATGAATGCTTATTATGCCCTTCATTCCATGAGAACTGGAGCCAAAGAACCAGGTTTCATTCTTGCAGGACTCTTTTGGCTGCAAGACTGCTTCTGAAACCATTTAATGCTAAGTCTTTTATTCTAGGCACTCTCTAGAAGGATTCACTATGGAAAATTTGTTGCTGAGGTAAAATTCAAGGATGCTTCTGAAGAATATTCACCTGCAATTCAAGCCAAGGTAATTCAGCATACTAGTCCATTTGAACATTTACAGCAAAAAATGGTCCATTTGAACATTTAGAGCAGAAAATGGCAAAGAATTTTTTCATTTCTTTTCAGTCCTAAATGTAGGAGCTTTTGCACTTTAACTCTTCTGCTGCAATTCATCTGGTTGTTTGAGGAATAATATATTTCTGATTCCAAGTGTCCAATTATGAAGTTTGAGTTGGTCCCTCTCAAATCGCTATCACCACTCAATTGGATTCAATCTTCTGACTTAACGACATTGAATCCACAGTCTTTGAAATTTATGAGATAAAATTTCGGTTCTTGCAGGATAGAGATGCTCTGATGAAGCTTTTGACATTTGAAAGTGTCGAGGAGATGGTGAAGAAGAGGGTGGAGAAGAAAGCAAAGGTGTTTGGGCAAGAAGTGAACCTCACCAACGATGCTGGCAATGGAAAGTGCAAGATCGATCCATCTGTTCTTCCTTGCCTATATGGAGAATGGGTCATGCCTCTGACCAAACATGTTGAAGTGGAATATCTTCTGCGTCGTCTAGACTGAAACCTTTTGAGACTTCCATGATCCTTTTCAGTTACATGATCTATTATGTGAGAAGGATTCACGGGGTTAAGATCAAATCATGAGTATGTGATTACTTCCGCTGATGTATAATGCAAATTGAAGCTAGTTTTTCATGACTAGCATGCTGAAATCCTTGCTTTTTCTTTTTTCCAGTTACTATTATATGGTACTTATTACAACATAGTTTGCCTGGCAGATAAAATACAGATGACAATTTGCTAAGCACAAAGGAGTACTGATTGCTTGAATTCTTGAAATTTATTTGGATATTGTGTCAGATTATTTTTTTTCATGGTTGAGTGGGGTGCGAGGTAAGGCGAATAAATTGCATGCAACCCGGACAGATGCATAAGTTACAAGAATCACTTTTGAGAAGAAATAAATACAAATGCTATGTTTCAAGAAATATGCATGACAGACTTGACTTGGAAGGTTTGCTAATATTTTACCCCATATTCAAGGAGCTTGAAAAAAAATAAATTCTGTTTGTTTACTTAAATAAAAAAGAAAAGTCCTAGAGAAAGTAATGATACAAAGCACAAAATAATTTTTGCAATAATAATGTGGAGATTATTTATAAAAACAATTTAAATGACACTATAGCATTTTATGAAATATGATCTAATTAGTACTTTTGTATTTGGATGGGAAATTACGTGAAAATGTTTTAGTACTTTTTGTAATGTTATAGATATGAGATAAAAATATAGTTGAGATGTTATAGATATGAGATAAAAATATAGTTGAGAAAATACGATGATGGTTAGAAAATGTAGGTGTGATACAATGTGTTTTTTTTTTGTTTTTTTTTAACAGCCTAAATGCATAACAATATTAAGCATATACTCTTTATGTTGTAAAACTAATACAAAAAACTCCCAAAAGTAGGGATTGGAATAGTAGAGTAAGAAAAGAGAGAGATAGAATTATTATATTTACTGATCAAAGTACTTCCAAGTCTCAAGGTTACAAGGTTACAAATGAAGTAGGATACACCCCTATATATAGGTGATCCAAGATCAAAGGTACATGAACCCTATTAAATACAAATACATGAATTTAGTACATTAAGTACATCCATAAATGAGTTCATCCAATGTACCAATGAATTTAGGGAGAATACATGTGACTATCATCTTGAGAATGCAAACGGACATCTTCATCTTGTAATCCTTCTTGAGAATATCAACGGACAGCCACATCTAGAGAATATCAACGGACATCCACATCTTATCATTATTTCATAACACTCCCCCTTGGATGTCCATGATACAAAGAATACGCCTCGTTAAAACCTTACTAGGGAAAAACCCAGTGGGATAAAAACCCTAGTGAAGGAAAAAGAGTACATTATTCTTGTGTAATAAAATCTTCCCCTGATGCAAACATTAAATGAGATCTTTTAGCCGACGCATACCAATATTCTTCACTAGTTTCCCAAATGTAGTAGTCGGCAAAGCCTTGGTAAACAAATCGGTCAAATTATCATCCGATCAGATTTGTAGCAGGATTTGTAGCACATTAATCTCACCATTCTTCATTCCAACGTCATCTTGTAGGCGAGGAATTAAATCTTGCTAATAAATTCACAGCAAATGATATATCTGGCCTTGTACAATTAGCAAGATAATAAGCGCACCAAATGCACTGAGATATGGTACTTCAGGACCAAGTATCTAAAGGAATCCTTATTAGGATTCAATGATCTGACAACCATTGGGGTATTTAATGTATGTGCTTTATCCAGACGAAATCGCTTTAATACCTTTTGGGTATAAGCAGGTTGGTGAATAAAAATTTCACTCTCTAAATGCTCAATTTGTAAACCAAGGCAGAATTTTGTCTTTCCAAAATCTTTGATCTCAAATATTCGACAGCCTTTTGGATCTCTTCAGGAGTTCCAATCAAATTGAGATCATCAACGTATATCGCAATAATCACAAAATTTGACCCATTTTTCTTGATAAAAATACATGGACATATTGGGTCATTGGTATAACCTTTTTTAGTTAAGCATTCATTGAGACGGTTATACCAGATACGTCCAGATTACTTGAGCCCATACAAAGACTTTTGTATTCTAATAGAATATACATCTCTAGGACTTGATTTACATGCTTCAGGCATGTTGAATCCTTCAGGGATTCTCATGTAAATATTATTGTCAAGATTCCCATACAAATAAGCAGTGACAACGTCCATCAGACGCATATCAAGTTTTTCATACACTGCAATACTCACAAGATATCTAAATGTGATCGTATCCACTACAGGTGAATAAGTTTCATCATAATCAAATCCAGGCCTTTGTGAAAAGCCTTGGGCTACAAGTCTTGCTTTATATCTCACTATTTCATTCTTTTCATTCCTTTTTCTCACAAAAATCCATTTATATCTAACTGGCTTTACACCTTCAGGTGTTTGAACTACAGGTCCAAAAACATTCCTTTTAACCAGTGAATTTAATTCAGATTGTATCGCATCTTTTCATTTTGGCCAATCATTTCTATGCCGACATTCATCAACCGATCTAGATTCATGATCCTCATCAACTTCTATAATATCAAGTGCTACATTTCATTAGACTCCAATTAACTTTTCTATAATTTCATTCTCTTCAGGAGTTGGCTCTTCGGGAGCTGGCTCTTCACGAGCGACCTCTTCAGGAGGTTAAATTTTGTCATGACATTTATTTAATCTCCGAAGATATTTGAAATCAATTGATACCTTATATAGGTAGGCCGACCTTTATTTGTAGCACTTGTACATGTCCTTCAGGGACGTCAATTTTAACAAGAGTGTTTCCTGCAGGAAGAGTTGATTTAATGACTCTTCTGGGTCGATAAATATAACTTTCTTCAAATGAAGAGTTTCTTGAACTTCTAGTTCACATTATTTTATATGAGGATCGAGGAAATCTAATTTTCAGATGATTTCCTTTCGGTCGATCTTTTCCTCCCCCTAATGTCGGGATAGATCACTCATCAATAGATCATTCATTAATATTTTACGATATTTAATCGTAAAAGGTGATGCATACCCGACATAAATTTCTTTTGGAGCCATGTATAATATAAAGGGGGGTATGTATAAATATTTGTTGACATTCAAATATTCTCACTTTTGCCAAATCATATATCCAGTGGGATCAGTAAACTTCAGGTTTACTGCAGATGATGATTATAAATCAAATGAGAATGAAGATAACTATATCAATAACCATTACGCGCTCGAATGATTATTATGATATAATTAACCTTTATTTCACATGATCTCTATTTGATATCCATTTCGACGGATAAATTTCTTCGAGACTTGGGAGAGAGTAGTGCATTATTTATGACAATTTTAGTTCCTTCAGGGAGAAATAGAGTGACTCTTCCGGAACTCTCAATTAATTTTGCACTACCACTTATGGTATTAACATTTGGCATCCATCTCCCATCTCCAAAAAAGAAAAGTATCTTTTATTTTTCAATATAGTGTGCATAAAAGCACTACTAATGAGACAAATGTTATCATCACCATTATATAGACCCAAAAATTTGGCATCCATTTCTTCTTCAGGAAGAAAATAAATGAAACTAAACCTTGATAAAAGATGCGGGAATAGACATATGCAAAGTAAATTGATAAAGCTAACAACATATCAAACAACATACTAGAGTAATTGACAATCCTGCAAGACTAACAACATATCAAATATCTAGACAAATATTAAATATATGATCATTTTGCATCTTCAGGATGCTCAAAGAAATCGGCAATATCTAGATGTGTCATGTCAGCATCATCATCATTCTTTTGATCAATAAAATTTGTCTCAACATTTTTGTCCTTCTTTTTCAATGATGCTTGATAGAGGTCAACAAGATGTTCAGCCGTACGACAGGTGCGGGACCAGTGACCTTCCATACCACATCGGTAGCATTTTTCTTCATAAACTTTATTTCCCCTTCATTCGGATCGTAGTCATTTTCTCTTTCTTGAGAAATATTTTATTGCTTGCCATGGTGATAATTTTCACGGGGCATAAATCTACTACGATCACGTCCACGGCTACGCCCACGTCCACGGTCTCTTTCACGGCCACCTCTACGGCCACGTCCACGACCTCGACCAGAATTTTGAAATTGAATCCCATTCGCTTCAGGGAATAGACTTGCACCAGTTGGTCGGGACTCATGATTTTTCAGCAATAATTCATTATTTTATTCAGCCAACAGAAGACATGCAATAAGTTCAAAATACTTTTTAAATCCTTTCTATCTATATTGCTGCTACAGGAGCATATTAGAGACATGAAAAGTAGAGAATGTTTTTTCTAACATATTTTCATCAGTAACTTTTTCGCCACACAATGATAATTGAGAAGTAATTCTGAACATAGCTGAATTATATTCATTGACAGATTTGAAATCTTGTAGTCGTAAGTGGGGCCAATCATATCGGGCTTTTGGAAGAACGACCAACTTCAGGTGATCGAATCTTTCTTTCAAATCTCGCCAAAGGATAAGAGGATGTTTGACAGTAAGATACTCTACTTTTAATCCTTCGTCTAAATGACGACGAAGGAAAATCATGGCCTTAGCACGGTCTTGGTTTGAGGCATCATTCTCATCAACAATAGTATTACCAAGACCCATTGCCTCAAGATGAATTTCAACATCCAAAACCCACGATAAATAATTTTTTCCAGAAATATCAAGAGGTACGAACTCTTGTTTTGTGAGATTAGCCATAAGACTATGCAATAGATTCGTAGGAAAGAATATTACCTAAATAAGTAGTCAAAAGTTGTTTGAGCAGAATCTTGTCTCGTTCTTCACTTTTGCTTCGCGTCTTTCCTTCACTCTAAGTAGAGGCTCGTGCTTTCCTTCGCTCAAGGTAGAAACTCGTGCTGATAACGTGTTGTAAAACTAATACAAAAAACTCCCAAAAGTAGGGATTGGAATAGTAGAGTAAGAAAAGAGAGATATAGAATTATTATATTTACTGATCAAAGTACTTCCAAGTCTCAAGGTTACAAGGTTACAAATGAAGTAGGATACACCCCTATATATAGGTGATCCAAGATCAAAGGTACATGAACCCTATTAAATACAAATACATGAATTTAGTACATTAAGTACATCCATAAATGAGTTCATCCAATGTACCAATAAATCTAGGGAGAATACATGTGACTATCATCTTGAGAATGCAAACGGACATCTTCATCTTGTAATCCTTCTTGAGAATATCAACGGACAG